CTCGGGACAAATTGGCCATGGTTTCAGGCATTAGTGAGGGAAATGTTTGTGGATGGGTCCTGCAGTAGAGAGGCATGATGTGGAATGTGCCCATCATTGGCGGGGAGGCAGTGCTGGAGGATATGGAGGGTGGTGTGAGCGCCGTCCCTCCACCCTTGGAAGTGATTCCCCTTGGGGATTTTCCCTTGGTCACTTGACGAGAGCCTAAGGAACGCCATTGACCAAGTGAGAGTATTTGATGGTCAGCCAATTCAGCCTAACATTGTGCTATCCCACCCGTGTTTTTCAGTTATTAAGGATAGGTTATATAGAGTGATGCAGGACACTCGGACTAAAGAACCCCAAAAGCGCCATTGCACCCATTACCCCTAATCAATGTCCCCCTCGAAAGAATTGGCATGGACCTTATTTGGCCATTAGAAAGGTGCATTCGAGGATATTGCTTTGTGTTAGTCCTTGTAGATTATGCAATGTGATATCCGGAAGCCATGCCTCTACACAACATCTCAGCACACAGTGTTGCGGAGACACTCTTCTGTGTTATCTTTGAGGTCACAGGGTGAATCGGAGAAGTTGACTATGAAAGAGAGAGAGAGGAGCTGGGACCGAAGGTAAGTCTATAAAATGCAGCCCAATTCACCCCAGTCCCCTGTGGAGACCACCTCTCACTGTCTCAGACAGCACAGGTTGCCAGGTTGCAAGAGGAATTTTCCTATGTGTTTTTTCCTCTACCCAGTCGCACCGACCTCATAGAACACCACATTGAGACTCCTCCAGGTGTGGTTGTTCACAGTCGCCCATACCAGTAGCCTGAACACAAAAAAAGGTGGCTCAGGATGAACTCAAGGTTATGCTTGACATGGGAGTAATTGAGGAGTCCCACTGTGCCTGGTGCAGCCCAGTGGTCTTGGTCTGGGTCGGTCCATTTTTGTGTGAACTTTAGAAAAGTCAATGTGGTGTCTAAATTTGACACATATCTGATGCCGTGCATTGATGAACTGCTCGATCAGTTAGGTGTGGCTTGCTTTTATTCGACACTGGATTTAACCAAGGGGTACTGTCAGATTCCCTTGACTCCAGAATCTTCTGCCTGCACAAATCATATGCCACAAATTACTTTCATTTACAATTATGATGGGCAGTGGCATTTACAACATCTGAGAACTGTCCTGAGATCTTTGAAATGGGTGGACCTCACAGCAAACCCAAAGAAGTGTGCAGTTGGGCAGGTGGAAAACCCAGCGATTGTGGCCTGCCTGAGACCCAAGACCAAAAAGGGGGTGAGGCAGTTCCTGGGGCTGGCTATTATAAGAGGTTTGTGACTTTTTCGGACTTCACCAGCCCACTGACTGACCTCGCTAAAAAGGGAGCACCAGATCCGGTCCAGTGGACGGAGCTATGCGAACAGGCTTTCTGCCAGGCAAAAGCGGTTTTGTGTGGGGGCCCGCTGTTGCATCCACCTGACTTTCTCTCCCAATTGTTTTGCAGACTGCCACATCAGACAGCAGGCTGGGGGCTGTTTTGTCCCAGGTGGTGGAGGGAGAGGAGATCCCCATACTGTACATCTACCAGACCAAGTGCAGCACCATCAAGAAGGGGTGTCTGGTCATCAAGTGGGCAGTCCTCACCCCCCAATACTGCCTACTGGGCACCTTTTCACACTCTGTTCCAATCAAGCCCCGCTCCAATGGTTCCAGCGCATGAATGATGCCATTCCCTCTTTGGCATCTGGCACTTCAACCATTCAAATTTGAGGTGGTCTTCTGTGCCCTCGGTCTGTGGACCACCTCAAATTTGAATAGTTGAAGTGGCAGATTACCTCTCAAGCTGGGTGGGAGTCAGGTGGTGTGGGTATGTGGCGGCAGGGGCATGGTCGAGCATCAGCTGTGGATGGAGAGGAGGCAGGTCGAACTGGCAAGTAACACGTGATGATTCTTACCTGTGTCTTATTACTGGCAGTCTACTTATTTGCGTCTCTTTGTGCTTTCAGTTGTTTCCCGTAACCTACAAGAGAGAGTGAGTGCGAGACCACTTGGCAGAACTTGCAAGACACACACACACACACACACACACACACGTACACATGCCTAGAAGTGTGAACTTAAACCATGAATGAAGGCCACGAATTTTGTATTTTCTGTTAAGTTTTGAAAGTGCGGACTGAATAAACGTGAGCCCAGAGCTCAGTTAATATTCCGCCTGTCTCCCAAATCTTCCTACACACCCTCACACACCAGGGTTCTACACACGGTTAATCGTTAATCCGTTTTGGTGATGCTCTGACTCAGTCAGCTAGCCATCACAATTTGGCCCTTGTCAAAGTCGCTCAGATCCTTACACATGCTCCTTTTTCCTGCTTCCAACACATCAACTTTGAGAACTGACTGTTCACTTGCTGTCTAATATATCCCACCCCTTGACAGGTGCCACTGTAATGAGATAATCAATGTTATTCACTTCACCTGTTAATGTTATGGCTGATCGGTGTATATATACGGTGTCCCAAAACTCTCTTAATGTTAATAAGTTGTCACTGGAACCTCTTACGTTAGCTTTTATTTAAGCATGCTAAAGATTTTAGTCTAATCATCTATCATAATCATTAATTTCTTTATTTGGGTTGTATTCCCATTTTTATTATATTTCCGTATTTATTTGTTATATTCCAATATTTCTTTTCATATAAAACTTTCTTGACTTGCATTCCACAATGTAGGGAGTATTACCAGTGATTCTCTTGGCATATGGAAATTTTGTCATCTTGAACAGTTGGGGTTAAATGAGTTTTGTTTTATTTTAGTACCTTGGTAATAATGATAATGATAATGCCTTAAGTGAGTGCACTTTGAAAAGTTATTGAATTAACATGCAAATTTTTTGTTTTATAAGAGTTTTGCGTTTGTGTGTGTGAGTGAGAGAGAGAGAGAATTTTCTTTCTTTTTTCTGACCTACCATTGCCTTTTTTTCTGTATGATCTGCAGGCATGGAATTAGACATTGCACAGTAGCAATAAAGAGTAATTGGATCTCAAGATAGAAATCTTGTTGGCTGTTGTTGCCACAACTCTCTTTTTTTCTCTTTTCTTTTCTCAACTTTCCCAACTTGCTCATCTTTTATTTGACTTGGGTGATATCGACAATATCCTTTCTAACCACCATAAGAGGCAATGTAAACTACACTACACAGCAAAATCTGCTGGGAAAGTTTTTTGTTGCCAAGATCAGCAGCTGTTACATAAAAACTGTATTGCCAGCCCTGTGTATTTACAGCTTGCCTAATTGTTGCATGGTAACAAGCGAAGCTTATGTTCACAATTCCACTGAGTGTTTGAATAACCCTGTGGAATGAAAAAAAATTATTTAGACTATTTATTTATTTATTTAGATTACTTTTTTATTTTTTAATTCAAAAAAGATCTTCTGTTATTTCATTAAAAGATTGTTATTTGTTAACATCATACACATTTAGTACATTAATCTTTAATGTGACATTAAATGATATGAAAGTTTCCAAGGGGAAGGGGTCTAAAAAATCTGCAGTCAGTCAGTTTGTGATTACACAGCTATTATAGCTTCTTTACTGACAAGCCGTTTCTTCATTCAGAGTCCTTGGAGAAATACATGATTGAGAAATACTAACTGTGTTGGGATTTAATTAAATATGGCTTCCCATCTGCTATGGTGGTATAACAGGCATTAACCACAATCCATTTAAACCCAGAGTAGGGTCTTTTGAGTTGGATGAAGTAATTGTTCCTGCCCATTCAGTTCAATTTTATTTGTATAGTGCTTTTAACAATGGACATTGACACAAAGCAGCTTTACAGAAATAAATACATTCAGGATATGAATGAACCCTAATGAGCAAGCCAGAGGCAACGGTGACAAGGGAAAAATAAATTATATTAATTATAATATAAATCCCACCTATAACTGTATACTACATGGTCAAATAGTGCAATTGTATAACCAGGAAAGTCATTACAGTTTTCACATGAAGTCTGTTTTGTTGAACTTATCAACTTTTCACTGATGGAGACTTGAGTGCAAAACTGTTCGTGGCAATTGTAGTCATAAGCCATCATAGCATAACTGTTCATATGAATTGTGGTCCAAAGCCATCTTCAGGCTTTTTAAGTGGTACAATCTCCATGATCTTCAAGCTGTCCATGTGGGACCATCCTCAGCAGTGAGTGATTTCCAACTGATGAGATCTCCAACCAGAAGTAGGGCATCAGGATGCATCAGGCAGGTCCGAAGAGCAGAGGGGGTCAGGATCACTGGTATTTCAGGAGTAGCATATGTAGCTCAACAGACCCCCTGGGTAAGGGTAAGAGAGAGAGAGCACAGATTATTAGGTATGCTCTTGTCACATAATGGTTAAAGAAAATATACATTGTGTGCAGAATGCAAGCAGGGACTCCGGCAGTAATAGCAATAACAGCATAACTAATAGGGAGAGCCATAAGGTAACACAGATATGAGGGCACCCTGAGACACAAAGTGGCCAGCCACTCCAACATCAACAAACCTGAGTGAACACGTGAGCTTCATCCAAACATCCAAACATCCCAGTTCACCACAACACTCTATGCCCATAAACCCTCCAGATCTGCTCTTTTAACCAAGATGAAAATTTTCACAAAAGGCTTGACTAAACAAATATGTTTTTGGCCTAGACTTAAACACTGAAACTGTGTCTGAGCCACAAACACTAACTGGAAGGCTGTTGTAAGAGAAAGCTCTACCCACTGCTGTAGCCTAGAGGGAAAAAAGCATGAACTAACTTTTCTGCCTTGTGTAAGAGTGAGTGGCCAAGTATGGTGACCCATACTCAGAATTTGTGCTCTGCATTTAACCCATCCAAGTGTGCACACACACCTGGAACAGTGGGCAACTTTTTTTTTTTTTTTTTTGCTCTGGCACCCAGGGAGCAGTTGGGGGGAACAGTGCCTGAGAGTGGAAGAGAGTGCTAGTCATTCACTAACCCCACCAACAATCCCTACCAGACCTGAGACTCAAACCCACAACCTTCAGATTCAACTTCAGGTTACAAGTCTGCCGCTCTAACCATTAAGCCACGACTACCCCCAGTGGAGTGATATTATGTTTCTTATCTTAGCAATATTTCTGAGCTGAAAGAAGGCTGTCCTAGTAATATTATCTATATGAGCTTCAAATGAAAGACTGGAGCCAATGATGACACCAAAAGTTACTGCTGCACATGATGGAATATAAAGGCCATCCAGAGTTACTATGTAATCAGAAAGCTTACTTCTAGCTGCATGTGGTCCTAGTAAAAGTACTTCTGTCTTGTCATAAGTTAATATGCATCCAATGTCTAATGTCCTTTACAAATTCCTCAACTTTATTAAGTTGGTATTTGTTATCTGGCTATGTTGAAACATAAACCATGTGTCATCAGCATAACAATGGAAGCTAATACCATGTTTAACAATAATTTTACCCAGAGATAGCATATATAGTGAAAAAAGCATAGGTGGAACACAAACCTTTACCTTAGTATGCATAGAATAGTCAAACTACAAACTGATACCAACCAGTCAAGTAAGACCTGAGTAAGGAGAGGGCCATTTCTGTAACTAGTCTGTGTTTCTAGTCTATCAAGGAGAATAGTATGATCACTAGTGTTATAAGCTGTACTAAGGTAAAGCAACACAAGCAAGGACACACAACCCTGATCAGAGGCCAGTGGTAGGTCACCTTTCCTAATCACTGGACTTCTGATTATGCGCACCTGTTCCAGTGAGCACACACCCTTTAAATAAATCGAACATCCAACAGTTCATTGTGTGGCCATGAGTTATGAAAGCATGGGAGCTTAATAAGGAATGGGAACAAGATCATTAAGTTCAGTGCACAAGATAATTAAGTCATGACCCCAACTTAGTAATGCAAGGGAATGAAAACATTAGGTGCAGTACATCATTGTCTTGTGCCCCCAACTGGTGTGTGCATATATACAGGGTTTTACAGAAACCACCGAATGCTGGGTTGAAAAGCTGCAGCTCATCTGTTTTAGTTAAGACACTATAGAAGTTAGATTTCAATATTTCATATTTAATAATTGATTAAATTAATTTTTAAGTATTTGCTTGGATACAACTTTGATTTGAAGTCCAGAAATCACACTTGTAGTGAAAAACAGGTACAGGATCATAGATATCAGGTTAACAGAGAGATTCGAAGGCCTAAATGAGAAAACAAGACAAAATGTGGTGAATGCACACAGCATAACAGAGTAAAAGCCACTTTACAGCTGTTTTTGGAGAGTTTATTTTTCCATGGGTGTCACAGAACAGGTTCCATTTAGTTTAACGTACACCTACACCAGTTTCATAAGACACGAGATGCATGTGTGTGTGTGTGTGTGTGTGTGTGTGTGTGTGTGTGTGTGTGTGTGTGTAAAATCTCAACCCCATCCTTCTTGCAGCATATGTCTATATGTCTTCTTTTGATGTCATAGGGGGTCATGGCAGGGGGCAGGCTCAAGTAGGTTTAAAAATAAAATATCATTGTATCTGTGGAATCAGGTTGTAATTTGTTCTACGTGCAAAAACAGAGCTCCAAGGCTTTCTCTTTTACACCTCTTATTAAAAGTTAGTAAGTTGTGTCCACAGCCAAATATATCATCTACATCAAGTTACTAGAAATTACTGGTTACAATACTGATCCAAGTGTATCACAGTAATATAGAAATATAAAAATGAATCTTCTTAAAAGTAACCTTAAGGAAAAAAAATTCTTCCTCAGACAGGACAACAGAGATGGTGGGAGCAGGAGATCCCCATGGAAGGTACCATTCATAAAGGTGAGCTCATTACCTACAACCTGACTGAGCTTGTTAAACCTGAGGCTTACCAGGTGCGCCTCACTCCCATCACCCGCTTCGGAGAAGGAGATTCCACTGAGAGGATCATCCACTATAGTGGTGAGTACAGCAAAACTCATACACAGAGAAGCTTAGCTAAGAACATGGAATTTTGTGTGTGCATGTGTGTGTGTGTGTGAGAGAGAGAGAAAGATTTACACATGACAGAATCACATTTTTTTCATACTAAAAGTTAAAAAAAAGCTAAGACTCAAGAAGCAGTGCTTTCTTTGATCAGACATCAATAAACATTCTCATCTCATTCTACTCAATTCAGTGCCAACTCAAAACATTTTATAGGCATTAGTATCCCAAAAAAAGAAAGTGCCCTTTTTTAATTTAAAAATTTGATTGTTTACTAATCAAGACTTGAACAGGTCCATGTGTTGGTGGTTGCTAAATTCAACATTAATGTTGCTTCACACTGCAGTGCTAAAAACAGGATGATTCTCGGGCAGCTACAAGTCTTGTTTCCCCACATGGCAAAAAAAAACTTCACTTTAATTGCCTTTGCATAGCACAACCACTTGGAATTATGCCATGCTTGTAGCCCTGTAAACAAAGCTAAAAAACAAAGTACTGTATGACAGTCTTAGTTGATCACAGCACAAATACATCTGAAGTTTCTGGCACAACATGCACAATATAATAGATCAATTCAGGATGAAAGATGTCATCCAATGGGGCAAGCCATCAAATAACCATTTGTTCCACAAGAAGACATGCCCTGCTCACTTGGGCTACACACAATTTTCCCTCAATCCAAAAAAATTGCTACAAATGAAAAATAAATCAAAGATAAGACTTGTCATATTATTGTAAGGAATAACATTCCCTCTAAGGGTCATGGTCTCTCATTTTTTACTTTTTAAAAATACTTTTTTTGTGTGTGTGTTTTTAAGCCCAACATATTTGAGTACACTATCATTAACAGTGCAGCTTGGTTTTATAGTAAGCTGAACCTCATATATATCAATTCATAACCAGCAAATGTTTTCATTTTTACATAACTGTCATGTCTATTCAAGAATCAGCATCAAACTGCATTTCCCAAACTGCCTCACAGCCTACAAATATGGCCACCATGAACTCCAGTTCTCAACTTGCGTCATTGCCTACAGACATGGCCGCCTCAGGCTCCAACTCTCAGCATGCACATTCACTGTCAAGTTCACAATCACCCATCTACTGATCACACACATCTGAACTCAAGCACCACTCACTACTATATACTCACAAAACTCACAATACTCACAAAACCCACAGTCAGTGTGAAGTATTGTTCAATGAGTTTGCTCCTTTCATACCAAGTCACCATATTTGATATACTGGTTTTGACCTGACTTTGCAATTGCTCTTTGGTTTTAAGATTCTGTCTGTCTTCTGTTTTCTAATCACTAGTGTTTGGCAGAATGGCACTTTTGAATTAGTGACACATTGAAAGCAAAAATTACTTGACACCCAGCACTACAGTGATACCTGCTGGACAATAAAAATTCTTACAGCACCTGTCTGTGTCAATCAATAATATCAAGCTATCAATATCAAGGTCACTTTTCAATTCATACATGCATAAGGTATCATGATGTACAATGAGCAATATTTTAAAACTTATTAATCTTGTTTAATGTTAATGGACACAAACACAATAGTTCTTTTTTGGTATTGCATGAAATAATGACAAGATATAGAACTTATTTATATATTTTTAAAATTAAAATATGTTGACATTAACATTAATCAAGATTAACAAATGCTGTAAAAAGTATTGCTTATTGTTATTCATTGTAACCAGTGTAGTTATTATTGTAAAGTGTTTCCCATTTGACTTTATTATGAGACAATATTATTTCCTTCCTGTTCATACTGTATTTAATCATATCAAATTCAAAATCAACATTCAATACAAAGCCTAGAACAAGTGCAACATGTATTTCTCCATATGAAAACTAATAAGACATTTCAATAATAATAAAATAACTAAAATAAGAATTTAAAAAACCTGTAAACAACAGCATAATTGTAACAGAAAAACAAATAATCAACTTAAAACGTATGAAAATAACAACTAATCTTATGCCCATTTTATGATGGCATTTCTGCAGAAAGAACTCCATGTTATCCCTGAAAAGGAAATTAAATGTAAAAGGCTGTCTGGAAAGTTCTGATTGTTGTAGAAAATTGTGGAGGGCCCTTTCATTGTCCTCTTCATCCATCTTTAGGCCCTTCCACTGAGCCCTTGAGCAGATGTTTGTTCACATGGAGCCATTTCACAGTTGTTGTTTTTGTGTCTTGTATTATATATATATATATATATATATATATATATATATATATATATATATATATATATATATATATATATATATATATATATATACACATGTACACACACACACATACATAAATACATATACACTATATTGCCAAAAGTTTTTGGACACTTCTTCAAATCATTGAATTCAGGTGTTCCAAACACTTCCATGGCCACAGGTGTATAAAATCAAGCACCTTGGCATGCAGACTGCTTCTACAAACATTTGTGAAAGAATGAGTTGCTCTCAGGAGCTCAGTGAATTCAAGCGTGGTACCATGATAGGTTGCCACCTGTGCAATAAGTCCATTCATGAAATTTCCTCACTACTAAATATTCCACGGTCAACTGTTAGTGGTATTATAACAAAGTGGAGGCAATTGGGAACAACAGCAACTCAGCCACGAAGTGGTAGTCCACATAAAATCACAGAGCGGGGTCAGCGCATGCTGAGGCGCACAGTGCGCAGAAGTCGGCAACTTTCTGCAGAGTCAATAGCTACAGACCTCCAAACTTCGTGTGGCCTTCAGATTAGCTCAAGAACAGTGCGTAGAGAGCTTCATGGTCCATGTTGACATGCTTGCATCAAACAATTCCTGCAGATTTTTCAGGTGCACTGTCATGTTGCAAATCTCCCATTCTACCACATCCCAAAGGTGTTCTACTGGATTCAGATCTGGTGACTACAAAGGCCACTGAAGAAGAATGAATTCATTGTCATGTTCATGAAACCAGTTTGAGACAACTTTTCCTTTGTGACATGGTGCATTACTTTGCTGTAAATACCCATTAGAAAATGGGTAAATTGTTATGAAGGGGTGCACATGTTCAGCAGCAATACTCAAATGTCAAGAAAACATTCCCTACACCAGTACACCACTT